CACTAGCAACAAGGGAAATACATATTAAAGCCACCATGTAGGATCTAGAATGTAGTGCAGGGGTTCAGTACTTAGCAAGTGTGTGTGAGGCCTTGGGTTTGAATCCTAGCACAGAGAGAGAGAAGAGAGAGAGACAGAGAAAGAGAGATATCCAATGAAGAAAAAGGGCATGCAACAGATGGAAGATGTACATGTATATCTTATAAGAGATGTCCAGCATATAAAAAGAGCTCTTGGAATTGAATAAGAGAAGTCAAGGGCTGGAGGGATGCCTCAGCAGTTTAGAGCACTGACTGCTCTTATAGAGGACTTGGGTTCAGTTCCCAGCACCCACATGGTGGCTAACAAACATCTTTAATTGCAATTCCAGAGGATCCAACACCCTCTTCTGGCTTCCATGCACAACTGCATTTACAAACAAAATAGCTGTTTCCCCAACCCCAGTATTACTGGTAATAGTCCTGTGTGATGGTTAATCTTGTCTCCCAGGTTGATTGGATTGAGTCACCTAGGAGATTAGAAAGGCACATGTCTGAGTGGATCTGTGAGAGCGTTTCCAGAGAAGATCAGCTAGGCAGGGAAGACCTGACCTGAATATGGGTGGTTCCATTCCCAGATAGAATTAAAGGAGAAAAACAAGCCACTACGTGCAGCCACTCACTCTCCCTGCTTCTGATGCTCTGCTCTGTCACACACAGTGGAGTAAAACCTCTGAAACTACAAAATATTAACGTCAGGCATTCTGTCACAGTAATGAGAGAGCTAGTACAACCTGTTGCAGACTGAATTGTGTCCCCGCAAAATTAATGTTGAGATCAACCTCAGTGTGACTGTATTTTGTGAAGGCCAAAGTGCATTTCCCAATCAGATATCAGATCAATCCCCAGAACCCATGTAAAATCTGGGTGTGTCAATGCACATCTGTATTCCCAGTGCTCCTGTGGTGAGATGGGGAGCAGGGGCAGGAGAGCCTGGAAATTCGCAGGCCAACCAGCCTGGCATATGCAGCATAATAAACAACAAAGAAACTGCCTCAAACAAGGGCAAGGTGAGGACCAACCTCTGAGGTTGCCTTCTGACCTACACACACACACACACACACACACACACACACACACACACGAGCACATCTGCACATGCACGCACCTACATGCACATATCGCTGTCCTCCCCATTCATAAAACTATTTGTAAACAGGTTCTTATGTTAAGATGTTTTCAGCTCCTTTGGGGAAATACCACAGCCTGTGAGTGCTGGGTGGAAGAGCCTATAAGAAACAGTCTTCCAAACTCACACACCATAACGTGTGGGAAAAAGTTAAGGGCACTTTTGGTATGCTACCTTTACAAAAAGTGAAAAACCTTCAAAGTAATACTACTTACTGTTTTAAAGTATTGACATGAATAATGTTTTCAAATAGACAAGAGGGCTGGGGATAAAGCTCGGTAGTAGAGCACTTGCCTTGCCTGCCTGAGGCTCTAAGTTTAGTCCCTAATACCTGGATGGATGGATGGATGGATGGATGGATGGATGGATGGATGGATACATACATACATGATAGATAGTAGATAGATAGATACCTACATACATACAGAGATTATAGATAGATAGATAGATAGATAGATAGATACATACATACATACATACATACATAGATAGATAGATAGATAGATAGATAGATAGATAGATAGATAGATAGATAGATAGATAGATAGATAGATAGATAGATAGATAGATAGATAGATAGATAGATAGATAGGAGATGAGGAAGGGGTCATGGACTGCCTGGGACTTCAGTGCAGTTATAATATTTTAGTGCTTGACCTTGAAAAGGAGATGATATAAACATATTACTTTTTTGCTGTTTTTGTAGGTTTTGTGAGTTTTTAAAACAATGGTTTGCTGATAAATTGGGATGATTATGTTTCCTATTATGTGAAATTGCTGTTGCTGTGGTGATTCAGCTAAGAGGCACCCATGGCCCTTGCTAACCCAATTATGCTCTGGGTTCTTTGGACTCAGACAAAGAAATGGGGAGTGAGACACTGCATGGATTCCAGTTGCATTTGGGCTGGACAGAGAATGGGTCCTCCAAATTCTCTTTTGATGTTGTTGACTTCTTAAAGACAAAGCTGGCCTCAAACTCACTATATAGCAGATGATGACCTTCAACTCCTGTTCTTTCTGTCTCTACCCCCAGGTGCTGGAGTTATAGATGTACACCAACATAGCGACCCAGATCTTAGGAACCTGGGCTCAGAGGGTTCACATTTCCCCACATCTACCCATCTGGCCATAGGAAGAGCTGAGGTAGGACTCAGAGACCTTGGCTGAAAGCTCTCCACCTCTACTTCTTCCTCATCCCCTTGCTGGCCTCAACAGCATTGTAAAAGGTCTTCTCGCATCAAGACCTGTGGTATTGAGTCCAGGTCGCCCCCAGGGAGTCCATCACAGACAACAGATCCTAATCAAGTTAGAATGTTAACCCTGCCCTCAGACCCACCTCAGATACAGCAGGGAAAACTCTAAAGGAAAAGCACAGCATTGAGCCCATGGTTCCTTGCTACATGACTACGGATCCCCAGTAGTGCCTGATAGTGGAGAAGTGCCTAGGCAAATGTAGGGGCTAGCCTGGGCCTGAGAACAGGAGGAGGATCTGAAATTGACAGGCCCCAGGCAAGGTCAAGAGCAGGCTTCCAGGCAGCCCTGCCTTGCTTGGCAAGTACTGGAGTGGCTGAAAGAGAAGAAACTCCATGGTTGATTGTAATCTTTTATTTTCTCTTGTAAAGTTGTTTATATACATAAGGGAGATAAGCAGAGATTCAGAAACAAGAAGAAAGGATGTTTTTCATAGAGGTCTTTGGGTGCTGTTTACCAACTCCTCCATCTCCACAGACAAGAAGGTCAGAGGTACAGGGGGACTTCTTTATGACTTGGAACCAACGCTTGGCGCCAGGGCAGCACCTAGGATGACTGCCAGGGCTGTGGCTGCTCCTTCTTCCTCAGAACTGGGAGGTGGATGCCAAAGTGGGGTAGTGGAGCAGGTGTGGATCCCCAAAAGCAGCCTTCCCAGGCTTTCCTTCTAGGAGGAGAGGACCCTGTATTCTGGTTCACAGGCTCTCATTGGGGTGTCCCCAGGTACCCACTGCTGTGTCCATCCTGCAGGCCAGCTGAGCTCTGCTGGCCCTGACCAGGCACACAGTTGCCACAGCTCTGGGAAGCTCATCTTCACATTATTTTAGTGAACTCAGTTCTCCACGTGCTTGTTCTGAGCAACGCTCTGAACATGGGCCCACTAGTGGGCTAGAGACACAAAATGAGCAGATTGCAGTCTTGGCTGAGAGTTTCAGGTCAAAGTGCATCTCCATCTCCTCCTCATCAGCAAATTTCCAGGCCTTTCCTGCCTGCCTCCTTCCATTCTTCCTCCTCCATGACCCTGCCATTTCTAGGTTAATGAGGTCAGTGGTGTTCACGCTCTAGGAAGTTACACTCAAAGCTTTTTGTCCCCAGAGCAAAGACTCTGGAATAGCCTGCCCCATCCTGATATCTCAAGAAGCTCCAGCACCAGGCCCTGGTGCAACTGGGACAGCAATCTGGAAGGTGACAGCCCCTGTGTCCTGTTTCCAGCCCGTCCTGTCCACTGTGGCCCAGGCTGGAAAGATGAGAATAGTGGCCCTTTGTATCAGCTGACAGTGAAATGAAATGTGGGAAGGTGAAGTCAGAGCCAACTCACCAGAGGTCTGGAAGTTCCAGTGGAGGCAGAGGGAGGAAAGCTGGCTGGGTTCCTCAGATGACACCACACATGGCCCTTTACCAAGCTGTAGTTTTCCTATCTGTAAAGTGAACGTGTTGGCTTAGACATCTTACCTTCTCATTGCAGCATCCTTTACTGAGCACACCCTCTGTTCCAGGTACCAAGAACCTATTAGACATATAACCTTGCAAGCCTCCCAACAGCCTAGAGCATGGGCCTTCCATTACCCCTCACAATCCAGAGGTTGGCCAAGGCACCCAGTGAGTCTGACCCCAAAGTCTGTTCCAATTGGATGTGTCCTCTCTTACCTGGTACCCTGGTTTTGTGGCCTGGAAGGCACTGGAGAAAGCTCATGCTATTCAGCCCCTCTTTGTGAAGGAGCTACAGGAGACCAAGAGGAGAAGCAAGTCACTAAAACAGACCCTGTGGCCCCTGGGCCAGGACTCCTTCCAGAGGCTTCTTTCTGTTTGAAGTCACAAATAGGTTAGTTTTATGTGGGTAATTCATGCACATAGGCCTAAATTCTGATGATACAAGAGAAAATAGAAAAGCAAGTCTGCTGGTGTCCTCGCCTGGACATAGTGCAGGGCCCTGCAGAAAGCCCGCTCAGCGATTCCTTTGTCATTGCAGGAGCACTTAGGAGCAGAGTCTCTGCAGTTAAGATCTGCAGGTGGCAGACTCTCAACCTATCTAGCAGAAAGATGCCAGACTTACTCCTATTGTCCAAGGAGACCAGAGCCAGTAGGACAATTGCTGGTCCATGGGCTGTGTGGTCCAGAAGGGACTTTCAGTACCTTACTTTTCAGGTAAGGAACCTCCCACAGACAATCTTCCAAGGACACAGCAGTTAAGGGGTGTTGCCAAGCTGGACTCCTTCATTAGAATTAACATCACTAAAAACTTACAGGTATGGGGTTGGGGAGATGACTCAGTGGGTGAAGTGCTTGCTGTGCAAGCATGAGGATCTAAGATTGAATCCCTAGAACCCACATAAAAGCTGGATATGACAGCACTGGAGGGTGGAGGCAGGAGGCTCCATGAAACTTAGTGGCTGTCTAGCCTCACTGAAATAGCACCAGGTTCAGTGAGAGACCCTGTCTCAAAAACTAATATAGGGGCTGGAGAGATGGCTCAGTGGTTACAAGCACTTGTTCTTACAGAGGACCCAAGTTTGGTTCCCAGCACCTGTGTTGGGCAGCTCACAGCCACCTGTAACTTCAGCTCCAGGAGATCCAACACCCTCTTCTGACCGCCACAGGTACCTGCACACAAGTGCACGCACCCACACATAGACACACAAAATTTTTTTTAAGATGGAGAATGATAGAAGACATCACATATTGACCTTTGGCTTCTAGACATGCATGCACAGGTGAGCATGTCCACACATACATGTGCACAGATGTATACACCCCTTCCACATACATACATACATACCAAAACAAAACCTTATGGTGCCCCTGGTGAGAACAGAGCATGGATGTCTACCAAAGTCACACCTGGTTATGTTTTGGCCAGCATTTCCACTCCAAGGCCTGAGGTTCTTCCTGTAGACACATCATGTAAGGATAAATGACCTGTGTGTGAGTCTTTTCCTGCAGCATTGAGGGGAAGGAACTGCTGACCATTGCCTTGTGACAGAGTCAGAGCAGATTGCCGTACTCCCACTCAGGTAAAGCAGGGGGCAATGATGCACACATGTATTGTCTTCTTGGTGCTTATAGCATATCTGCCAAGATAGAAAAGAAACTGGTAACAGGGTATCATGGTAGCTGAGGACAATAGAGAAATCTTGAACCATGTATGTGCTCACTATATATTCAATGTAAAATAAAACCCTCAAGCATCCCTTGTTTTTCAAAAAAAAGAAAGCCACAGAGACAGTAAAGATCTTCCCAGCTTCTCTGGAGGCCACAGGATCCTGGCTTTCAGTGACCCATTGTGGGGGTCACAGAAGACACATGGCGCCATTCTCTGTGCTCTTCCTTTTGAAGTCAGCTCATCTCGGCTCCTGATTTCCTAGGGCTGATATGGAAGATGATTAAGGTTTTATTACTTCTCGTCAATGTGGTCCCCAAGCCTCGCCCCTTGGCAGCCACCACAGGGTCACATCTGCTCCAGGACCACATAAAAGGGGGGCATGTCCTACTCTGAGAATGACTCCAGCAGCACCAGCAGCATCAGACTGGAGTCTTGGCTGCAGAGGGAGAGGACCATGGACACAGAGAACAAGAAAGGTGAGTGGGTAGAATCTGCACAGCACAGCAGCAGCTTGGCCTGCTGGGTAGCTTCTGCCCTCCAGACTACTGACCCACTGACCTGCCCCAAGGCAAGGTGCCTGAGCCATCTCCCTCTCACCTGAACTATGGCATGCTATCTTATTCATTGGAGAAAGCCCAGCTTTTCATTCAGATAGGATTTCAGGTTCGCAAAACAACCGTGAGAATGAGGACACCTGTGCGCCCTTTGTTCACATTCTCTCTGTGCTGGCCACATCTGGTTTCTTCTGTGGGTCAGTCAGTGCCCTCTTTGACCTGGCACCACTCATTCTGCAGGCTCTTCTCTTTATGTAGAGCCACAGAGGCTTGTCAGGTGGCTGAATGCTTACCCACGCTCCGAGGAAGAGTTCAAAGGATCAGGGGCCTGGGGAAAGGATATATATATCATGTATTGTTCTTCCAGAGGACCCACTGACCCACTGACCTGCTCCTGTGGGTCATTCGGTACCCTCTTTGACCTGAAGAGTCTCTGGGGCCTTGGGACTGTGAAGAGTCCCATTCCTTTTTCAGTGTCACACAAACTTCACCCCTTTGGGAAGCTCCAAAGGAGCTGCCCCTTGACAGTCCATATATATATGTATGTATATCTCACAGAGATCTGCCTGCCTCTGCCTCCCTAGTGCTAAGATTCAAGGCATGCACCACCACATTGGGCTCAAGATGCATTTTTAATTATTTTCCTCTAGAACATGCCCTGACAGTTATCTCCTCCCTTGTGAGTAGGTCTTGTTCTTCCTATGCTGCCATCCTCGTGGGTGGCATACACCCCTGTTGTTGAGTCTGTCTTTCCAGAGCTCCCATTGCGGTGTTGGGCCCTTTCATCCACCACTCTTTCATATTTTTTAAAGACTTATTTTGTTTTTAATTATGTGTATGTGTGTGTCTGTGTCTGTGCACATGAGTATGGGTGTCTATGGAGGCCAGAGGTATTGGATCCCCTGGAGCTGTTATTACAGGCAGCTGTGAGCTACCTGATGTGGCTTCTGGGAATAGAACTTGGGTCCTCTGGAAGAGCAGTACATGCTCTTAACTGCTGAGCCATCTCTTCCATACTGACTTCTGTTTCTCTAAAGTGTGCCATAGGCTTTGCTTCCAGTCTGTTTTCTAGATCTGATCTCTTCCACTTCTGTGTATGTGCTATTTAAATTTATTCGCTGAGTTTTAAATTTTTATTTATATGTGTATGTTTCTGTACCAGTGCGCAAGTGTGGATGTCAGAGGCAACTTACAGGAATCAGTTCTCTCCTTCCACCATATGAGTGTCAGGGATAGAACTCAGGTCAGGCTTACAGCAAACACCCTTACCCACTAAGCTATCTTGTTCACCCTTCACTGAGTTTTAAAAATTATTTATTTATTGATTGATTTTATGCATATGAGTGCTTTGCTTACATGTAAGTGCACCCATACATGCAATGCCCACAGAGGCCAGATGAGGGTGTCAGATCCTCTGAAATTGGAGTTATGGATGGTTATTAACTGCCGTGTGTTAATAACTGAACTTGGGTCCCTCTGTAAGAGCAACCTCTTAACCTCTTAGCCATCCCCCAGCCCCCCAACCCCCCATTTGCTGAATTTTTAAGTTCAAGAACAATACTTTTTTATTTTTACAAGTTATTTAAAGTTTGTCTGATTTTTTATTTATTTATTTATTTATTTATTTATTTATTTATTTTTGGTCCTTTTGAGATAGAGTTTTCCTGTAGTCCCAGCTGTCCTGGAACTCACTATGTACACCAGGCTGGCCTTGAACTCACAGAGCTCTGCCTGCCTCTGCCTCCCAAGTGCTGGGACTACAGGCATGTGCCACCATGCCTGGCTGATTATTCTTAATAATGGCTCATCTTTCCACATACTTAAAAAAATCCCATATGTCCCTAGCAATTTTTGATTTAGCTATATTCTAATCCATAGCATCTGACTCCTTTTCTTTTGGGGTGCAAGTAGGGGTGAGACAGATTTGAGAATCTGTAGCCCAGGCTGGCCTAAAACTCACATTGTAGCTCAGTTTGGTCTCAAACTTGTGCTTTTTCTTCTCCTCGGCCCCCAGAATGCTGGGATTCCTGGTGTGAGCTGCCACACCTCACTTTAGCCTTTGATTTCTTTGGGGAGAATACTTGTATAGGCTTTGCTGAAATCATGGATTATCCCATTTTCAAATCTGGGGCTGTAAGCTCATCAGGAGTGTGATTTCATGTGTGGGATCCTGTAAAATCCTGGTTAAGAACCAGTTCCTCCAATGTGCTCTAAATCAGTAACACAACTCCTTGGCCTATGAACCTAGGATAACACTTTGCTTTCCTAACTTAGGGAGCTCCCAGACTTCTGCAGGAAGAGGTTATGTTCAGAACACTTAACAACTGCTGTGTATTCAAAGGAGTACCTGTGCCCACAGCAGTTCCATACAGACTCCAGGGATGCCTGCTGGCAGCCACTGGGAGCCTCATGCCAGTGGACATGGGAGAGCGTATTGTTGTGCTCAGGCTGTGACTTATGGTGCAAAGGTGCAGTGGACAGGTGTTGTATGCCCCTTGCTATGGCAGGGAGAGAGGTATAGAATTCTGTATTAGGATTCTCTAGAAGAAAAGAGGAATATATACTAAAAACCAATGTATTAGAGTGGCACAGTGTGGTCTGGATAGTCCAACATTGGCTGTCTGCATGCTGGAGAAGCTGACATCCAGCAGCTGCTCAGTCCATGAGTCTGGATGCCTCAGTAGTCCCAGTCAAGTGCTAAAGACTTGGAGGATTCCTAGAGAGCCACTGGTCTTCAGCCCACACTGTAAAAGCCAATGAAGCTGGTTTCTGATGTCAGCCCAGGTTGGCAGCAGCAACAGCAAGATGTCAGCAGAGCAGATGAACTTGCCAGCTCCACCTGAAGGCAAGCAGGCAAAAAGCAAAGTTTTTTCCCTTGGACCTCCTTTTATCTGGCTGCCACTGGAAGGAGCTGCCCACATTTGAGGTGGGTCTCTCCATTTCAAATAACCAGATTAAAAAAAAAAATTCCCTTACAGGTGTGCCCAGCATATTATCTCTTAATTGATTCCAGATCCAGTCAAGTTCACAATGATTAACCATTACAGCATCCCAGTTCCTAGATGCCAACCAGGGCCCAACTCTGCAAGTGGGCCTTGCTGATGATCGTGTTCTTCAGCTTACCATGGGTGCTCCTCTTCATAGCCTACCTCCTGAGCTCTTGACCATGAACTCTGCATAGCAAAATTATCGTCGGGAAGATCCCAAGACCAGGCTCAGCCCTCCCCTTCAGGGTTATCTTCTGTTCTTCTAATGCCTCCCTTGATTTCCATATGAGGGATCAAGGCCAGCACAGTTCAACTCCAGCCTATTGTGACAGTCAGGCAAGAAGCACACCCAGAGAAAAGTTTAGAGTTAAAGATCTTCTCAGGGTACAGAAATTAGGCAGTGCAGGTTGGCAGACTCTACTGTGCTCTCCCACTGTGGTCCAGGTAGAGTAATTCAGTTCAGCATTTGATTCCAAGCAACTGCCAGAGCCAGCCAATTCCAAACAGGCTCATGCATCACTCCACCCATATGCAGACGCCCATGAGCCTTCAGTGGAAAGCATAGAGAATCAGATCTGAATGTGGCAGGAATTGCCGTCACCTTCTCACTGAGCCCTGTCTTTAGTCGGTTAATAAAAAGGCTTAGCTGCTGGGGGAAATGAGAAAGTCCTTTCAGAATGCAGACTCACCCTCTGAAGGCCACCCCCAGCCAGCAGCCCAGACCACCTGTGCCAGGTGAGCCTGCCTGCCCCAGAGGAATATGCCAATCTGAATACAGCTAGCCATCACTGTGCCATGAGTCACCAAACGCATCCTTGGCTCACTTCCCACTGTAAGGGTCCCAACCCCTTTGCAGTGGAGGAAACTCAGGTCCCTGCTTTACCTCTGGGCATCACAGCAGGTCCCACCTGCTGGGTGGCCCTCATCAGGGAAGGTCCCTGTGCCCCAGGTCATTTCACCTCACAGGCTAGCACAGTCTTAAGCCAGAGCTTCTCAAAAAGGCTCCTAGTCCACAGAAGCAGTGTTAAGGAACATTCTGGAGAGGCAACTTCTTAGGCCACACCCCAGACCTACTGAAAAGGAAACTCTGGGATGGCCTGGCAATCCAGTTTTTCATAGAACCCCTTAAAGTAATTGCTGTCTATATCATTCACTGGGAGCCAGCCCTTCTCAGACTTAGCCTCAGATCTGTGTGATCCACCTGACTCCAAAAACACCAGTTAGGGGGAGCATCTCAGTAGGTTTGATCATTCCCCAGTGATTCTAACACAGCATATGGAAACTGAGAACTAGGGCTCCACGCCTCATTTGCAAGGGCGATTGACACTGAGTACCTGCAGAGGGAGGAGATCCTTTCCTTTGCTGACTAAGCATATGAGGAGCTCAAATTCTGGATGGAGAGATCTGTTCCTAAGCTGAAGTGACAAAAAGTGGTGTCATTCTAATGTGTTGCCTGCACATATGGAATATTTTCACTTTAGCCTTCAGGGGAAAATCCCACTTATAATGAAGTAGCCTTGGACCATGGGAGCTCCTGGAGCCCCCTCTTCTATTTGGATAAAAAGATTGAACCTGGCACATTTCTACCCCACATCTTTAGGGTGTGAACGCCCACCTCATGATGGTGTTTCATTTGCTGAAAGCCAAGATCTGAGCCTACTGGAAGCAGAAGCAGGTAAGGACTGCCCCTCCCCACCTTCTCTCCAGCACCCAGACTCCAGTGTTGTTCCTGTGGCACAGTCTGCGGAGGGGAGGGCAAGCCATGGGGGGCTCCACCAAACAGCTTCAGGTGGAATGCTTGGCAGGGCTGTGACTTCCATTTGTCTCAGCTGAACCCCATGGAACCCTGTGAGGTCAGTATGCACACACCCATTTTACAGATGGGAGACCATGGCCAGCAGGGGTAGGACAGGGTCACCCTCTCCCCATCTCTGAACTGTCAGAGTTTGGAGTCAGTCTTGTGTCTTTCTTCCTACATGTGGTGTGCTGACAGAGTTGAATTTTATTCATGTGTGGTTCAAGACAAAGAAGAATGCCCAGGCACACCATACGTCTAACTACAAGGACAGTAACAATGAGAAGGAGACGATTGATGTGCTCAGGCGTGGACAGGCGTTCACCCTGTTCCTGAAAACAAATAGACATCTCCAAAACCAAGACCACGTGAGGCTGCAGTTTCTTAGCGGTGAGGCCTCAGCTCCAGGCTGGAGGGTGGGACCCCAAGGGTGCCTTTGCTCCCTGAGCCTTGGTTTTCCCATCTATAAAGAGGGAATAAGAATTGTTATGCTGGGGCTGGAGAGATGGCTCAGCGGTTAAGAACACTGGTTGTTCTTGCAGAAGACCTGGGTTCAAATCCCAGCACCCACATGGCAGCTAACAACTGTCCGTAACTCCAGTCCCAGGGGATCCGATAGCCTCTTCTGACCTCCTCAGGCGTTGCACCACACGGGTACACTTACCTACATGCAGGCAATACATGCATACACATAAAATAAAAATAATAAAATTTTAAAAAAGAATTGCTATGCTGAAGTTGGACTGGGAGCTCAGGCACTCCATCCAAAGTTGATGCAAACCCTTGGCCAAACTGTGGAGATGGCTGGGGAGGGGCCAGAGCAAACCAGGGAGGCTGGTCAGTATTCTCGAGGGATCTGGAATACTCTCTACAGATGAATCACAAGGCTGAGGTTTGCTAACATAGTGAGTCTACAGGCTGGAGGCAAGCTGGTAACAGTGAACAAAATCACCATACTTTAGGCAGTACTGTGTGTGTTTGTAACCCCAGTGTAGGGGCCTAGGTATATAGACAGGCTGATCCCTGGAGCCTGATCGATGAGCTCCAGATTCAGTGAGAGACTTTGTCTCAAATAATAAGGTGAAGAGTGACTGAGGAAGACATCCAATGCCAACGTGTGGCCTACACAGGTGTGCACAGATGCACGCACACACACACACACACACACACACACACATCACCACCACCACCACCACCACCACCATACACAAATACCACAGTATGGTGGGATGTGATAGTACATGCCAGTAATCCCAGCTTGGAGAGGCACAGGAGAGACTGAGGCAGGAGGGCCATGAGTTCAACGTATGTTGATGATCACTGTACTGGCCAGGGCTAAACAGTTCAACAAAGCATCTAGGGATGTACAAGAAGAGGCCTGGAGCGAGAGTGATAGGCAAGGGTGAAGAAAGGAGGTGGGGAAGCCAGGGAGGAGAGGTGAGGTCCAGTGAGTGGGCAGAGATGGCTATGCTGGGGCTGGTGTCAAGACTTACTTCCCTGTGGGTATTTCCAGGACTGGACTACTCATATATGGTGGTGGAGCTCAGTCTGGTGCCATCTTCCTCCTCTCAGGGCTGGCATCTGAAACGTATCAAACAGTCTGACGCCAAAAGAGAGGTGAGGGCCATACTGTCATCTGGCTGGTGGCTTCTGGATAGTTCCTTGTCTAACCAGTAGTCTGTATCCCCTCTTTCTCTTCCAGTCAGTAATACTGCTTACATCTCCCCTTACCCCCAGAAAATGGCTCTGGATGCCTCAGCTTCCCCTGATTCCTCGCAGCACACAGTAACTCTCACTGGCCAGACGGCCTAGTATCTCTCCTTTCCCTTTCATATTCACTGGAGGCAGTGAACAGCAGAAAATGAGTAAGAATACCCGGTCATCCTACATTTTGGTTGTCCATTTTTCCCTCCAGGCTCCTTGCTGTGCTTAGACTCAAAAACGGATGAACGTGCTGTGCCTCTCGCTTTCTTACTCAACAAAACTTTATTAATGTTCAATTTATCAATGTTCAATTTACCAGTGTTTGTCAACACAGCCCTCTGAAGTATGTGGGCTCAGGATGACTGATTTGACTCCCTTTCTGAGGGGCTTTGTACTGTAGCTGCAGCAGTGTCTGTGAGCCCTTGTAGACAGATGGCCTCTGAGGCTCTGCAGGGCTGGAATCAAACTCAGGGCTTCAAGTATACTGGGCAAGTACTCTGCTGCTGAGTGGCATCTCGACCCTGAGGACTACTGACATTTCTTCTGCCCCCTGAAGTCCTAGATGCTGGATCAGGCTCCTATCTTAGCCATAGGATCTGCCCACAAGCTAGGAGGTGGCACCATCAGAGTGTGGGAGTGGAGGGAAAAAGGCTAGGAGCAAAAACACCTGTGAGCTGCAAACCCAAGTTTATTGTCACTTTGGGGGACTTGCTGGAACCTTCTTGCTTTGTGGGCTGCATCCTGCCTACACTGGGGCACTCCTGGTTGCTGGGCTGGATCTAGAAGGGATGATTTATCAGGATCGATAGATTCTTCTGGGAGGCCTCATAGGATCCAGGGTTGAGTCAGAGAAGGAGGTGTCCACCATTTCTTGTGCTTCATGCAGGTCAAAATCATTATTACCAGTCCCCCTGACGCCATGGTGGGCAAGTACAAGCTGTGCATGAAGAGGGATGGGTCACGTTCCATTATGTCTAAAGAGTTCTTCATTATCTTCAACCCATGGTGTGCAGGTAACTTGAACTGGCTCTGCTTGGGAGCAAGCCTCTCTCCCCGCAGGGCTCCTGTGCCGGTGCTTGCACCTTGTTTACAGTGCAGAATCCCTGAGGTCTCCTCTGCTCTTGAAGCACTTGCAAACTAGTTAAAAGGGACATGCCCCAGGAACAGATAATGCATGCTCAGAAGGATCCTCCTTGGCCAAACCTGTGAATACAGGTCTCTTCTACCATTTCCACTTGTCCTCACTGCCTTGCCTCACCAACCAGTGTATGCTTCCAATCCTGAACCGAGGCTGCCTAGGTGGCCGCTAGGGCCAGCCAGCAGGACTCCTTCCTCCACAACTCCAGTGGTAGGGCCTGAACCCCAACGGCAGTTCTCATCTGCAAACTCGGCTCTTTGGGGCCTCTCCTCTCTCTTTTTTTCTTCTGCCCTACTCACTCCATTCTTTGGCTACTGTGGAGTCTTTATGTAAATGTCCCTCAAGAGGACTTTGGATACCCCCAGTCTTGCTCCAGAGACACCTTAGACTCAGGTTCTATCATGATTCATGATCCTTTTTCCATACTTGCCCTGCAGCCTTTTTTTCTGGTCTTTTTGACATGGAGTCTTCCTGTAGCCTTAGCTGGCCTGGGATTCACTGTGTAGATCAGGTGGGCCTTGAACTCACAGTGTCTGTCTACCTCTGCCTCCCAAGTGCCATGATTAAAGGTGCGTGCCACCATGCCTGGCCTCTTTTGCTGTTTTAAAAAATTATTTTTACGTTTCATTTATTGCCACACTGTGCATGTGAGGAGGTCAGAGGACAACTTGCTAGAATCTATTCTCTCTTTCTACATGTGGGTTCAGGACATCAGGTTTGGTGGTGACTTTATACTGAGCCATCTTATCTGTACACCTCCCTAGTCATTTATTTTTAATAAATAGTTTTATTTTCTTTGAGAATTGTATGCAATGTATTTTGATTATATTCACCCCAACTCACCCCTCAACTCCTCCCAGAACAACCCCCATCTCCCTACCCATTCAACTTTGTGTCCTTTTTCTAAATTTAATAACCCATCAACTTCGATTTCTGCTGTCCATATACTTCTGGGTGTGAGACCATTCACTGGAGTGTGGCTGACCTACAAGGAACCTGACCCTCAAAGAAAACTGACTCTCTCCCAGAAGCCATCAACTATCCATAGCTCCTCAGTTAGGGGTGGGGACTCATGAACCTTCTCCTACTCCACGCTAGAATGTTGACTGGATTGATCTTGTGCAGGTCTTGTGCAGGCAGCCACAGCTGCTGTGAGTGTCTGAGTGCTGTGGTCCTTCCATGTCCAGAAGATGGTTTTCCTCTGGTCCTCCCTGACCTCTGGCTCTTACAATATTTCCATCCCTTCTTTCCCCTAGTCTTTTTTGGCATAGATATTTCAGGGGAACAGAGATTGTCTCTTTTTTTTTTGTCTTTTTGAAGCAGGGTCTCCCTGTAGCCCCAGCTGTCCTGGAACTCACTATGTAGACCAGGCTGGCCTTGAACTCACAGAGATCCGCCTGCCTCTGCCTCCCAAGTGCTGGGACTACAGGCATGTGCCACCATGCCTGGCTCAAGATCCTCTCTTCTTAACAGAAAAGACTTTCTCTGGGGGAATTTGTCTAGTGATCCATCATCTTTAGATTTAAGTTGCATGTTCCTGACTAGAATATTATGTAAATTATATTGAAAATCATCTGGAGGCAAACCAAGTGTACCTGTTCCTAACCGGGGGAAATTAAACTTGATCATTTGCTCTAGTATTGTCCAATTTCTCTGTTATATCATAATTTTTTTTTCTTTCATAACTAGTAAGTACCCAACGTGGAAACACTTTCCAACCATGCAGATATGTGGCTCTCATCAGAATCCTCCATCTTTAGATTTTACATCCATTGATAGTTTTTACCTGAACCATTTAGTGGTCTTCCGTGTCAGGCTGCACAGTAACTGCCAGCTCCTGACCTCCATCCATACTTATCTTCTGGACCCTGACATTTTCTTGCTTCCAGAGACTCCTCCATCTTTCTGTCCATCCATCCATGTCTCCCTGTAGCCCCAGCTGGCCTAGAACTTGCTATGTAGACCAGGTTGGCCTCTATCTCACAGAGATTTGCCTGCCTCTGCCTCCTGAGCGCTGGGATTAAAGAGGTGACCACCACACCTGGCTGGATTCTCCCTTTTGTCAATAGTTTATGATTCATACTCGATCTTAATTTTGTTCATTTCAAACTTCTCCAGATTTTCCTAGTGAAATAGCCTTTCACCTGACTCAGGATGTGCTTTTGAAAGGTCTTTGTATTTCTAATATAAAATGTATTGCCGTGACACACGTAGCTTCCTGTCCCCCTTCCCCAACACTTGCTGTCGCCAGGCATTCCTGAAGACCTTGCAGACCCCAGCCCAGGCAACCCCCCAAAACACCCCCCACACACACATGGAAGACCTGCCTCTGTCTCAGGGATGGCCAGTAATCCATATGTACATGTGATTTTGCTCCAGAGGACACCGTTTTCATGCCTAATGAGGAGGATCGAGCAGAACACGTCCTCAATGACACTGGCTACATTTACATGGGTTTTGCCAAACAAATTAAAGAGAAGCCCTGGACCTTTGGTCAGGTAATGGATTGTCTTCTGTGGATGAAAGTCTCCCTTTTTGCTAGGAAGTAGCAAGTACAGGTTGTGGAGAAAAGTGGGTGGGCCATAGCTAAAACACCAGCCTCACACATGTGAAAGGCCCTGTGGAAAAGAGGGTAGGTTTGAGCAGAGGCCCCTTGACCAGAGCCCACCAGTGCCTTTTGCATCTTTTCTGCTCTTTCCCACCTCCTACTCCCAATACATTTATCTAAGAACCTAGCACTCAGTGAGTACTTATTTACAAGGAAGCTGAGTGACAAACTATGAGTATAGGCAGAAAGTTCAAACTAGAGGAGACCTTCTGAAGACTTGGGTGTACCTCTGCTGAGTGAAAGGATGGGTATCCATACAGAGGCGGGGCAACAACACAGGAGGACACAAGTTTGTTGACTACCAAGTCCAGGATATCCTGGAATCGGAAATTACCAGTCTTCCTTTGGGACTTCACAGCAAAAAAATTCATCTGGAAAATTCTAAGCTCTACACAACTGCCTAAAGTTCCCTTCTCCTCCCTGCACCCTGGTACCCATGATAGAACAGAGTAGGGACAGTGAAGGACAGACTTCCAGTCAATGAGAGCTGCTATGCACACAGCAGGGTGTGTCAGGTTGTCCTCTGTCAGAAGGGGTGCTAAGAGAGCAGTAGAAGAAAAAGAGTTTTGGGGAGAAGATGGGAGGGGAGTCAACAGAGAAAGGAAACTGCTGGAATGAAGACCATGGGAGGTGAGGAGAAGAGGATTTTCCTTGCATCTTAGGTAAGTTGCCCTCTCTGGAATAAAAGGGTGATTTTTTTTTTTGTCTTTTTGAGACAGGGTCTCTTTGTAGCCTCAGCTGTCCTGGAACTCACTATGTAGACCAGGCTGGCCTCGAACTCACAGAGATCCACCTGCCTCTGCCTCCCAAGTGCTGGGATTAAAGGCGTGTGCCACCACGCCCAGCTCAAAGGGTGATTTTTAAGAATGCCCAACCCCCCCGGCTTTCTGAACAGTGAATGTCATTGTTGTTCCTCTTGTTTTACTGTCTTTCCCCTTGGATTGCAAAATAATATACATGTGTCAACTCTATAAACAACCTCAGACCACAAAATTGTTGTGTGTAAGTGGTAGAGTTGGTTTTTTTTTTTTTTTTTTTTTTTTTTTTTTTTTTTGGAATGGTAGGTTTTATGGGACGTGCAATGCATCTTGGTAAAACTGCTTAAAAGTGCGGGGCGTGATGGCTAACACCTTTAATCCCAGCACTCGGAGGCAGAGGCAGGCAGATCTCTGTGAGTTCAAGGCCAGCCTGGTCTACATAGTGAGTTCCAGGACAGCTGGGGCTACTGAGAGACCCTGTCTCAAAAAAGACCAAAAAAACAAAAACAAAAACAAAACTGCTTAAAAGTAACACATGGGGCTGGGTGTGGTGGCACACGCCTTTAATCTCAGCACTCAGGAGGCAGAGGCAGGTGGATCTCTGTGAGTTCAAAGGCCAGCCTGGTCTACATAGTGAGTTCCAGGCCAGTTGGGGCTACAAGGAGACCCTGTCTCAAAAAAAAAAAAAAAAAAGAAAGTAACACATGGACTGGAAAGATGGCTCCGCAGTTAAGAGCACTGTCTGCTCTTACAGGGGACCCAGGTTCAATTCCCAGCACCCACATGGAGGCTAATAACCATCTATAATTCCAGTTCCAGGGTATCAGACACCCTTTTCTGACCTCTGCAGGCAGTGTACAACTTGGGTATACTTACATACATGCAGGCAATTTGCATACACACAAAATGAAAGTAGTCAATAAAAGTTTCTGACACAGGGCGGACTCTTAACGACCTCTTTCTTGGTCTCCTGTGACAGTTTGAGAAGCACATCCTGCACTGCTGCTTTTCCCTGCTGACCCACCTCCAGCCCAGAGAATTGCAGAGCCCAGTGCTTGTGTCCAGGTCCATCTGCACCATGGTAAGCAGGGAGGAAGTCTGTAGATGCTGTGTGCTCCACCAACACCTGATCAGCTTCTCTAGGTTTCCCTGAAAGCTGGAAATTCTTGAAGCACACAGGGGGTCATGGTCGAGCAATGTCAAAACTATCCAGGAATACATGTCGGCCATCATCCCTACTGAACTCCAGTTTTCAGATTCAAGTTCAGAAGCCCAACCTTGCTACTTCTGAGCTGACCTTAGGAGAATGTTCTCTCCTGTCTCTAAGGTGGTATGAATGTGCAAGGGGCTCATCTCCTGTAAGCCTGGCTGCCACTGGGATGTACGCTGGCTTAAGTGTACTATGTCAGAAAACAAAAGTTTGCATCTTTCCACAGTGTCAGAATTCGCTGAATAACAAGTTCACAAGCTACATCAGTTTCCCCTGCAGCAATTTGCCAAGTGGTCCTGATTTGCCGGCCAGCACAGGTTATTTTTATTTCACACTTAACTACTAATATTAGCTCTCAGATCACACATTACACATTCCATGGTAATAATACCTATGAATTTATGTAGGTGTGTAGGTTATAAAATGGTTACAAAAGGGTTAAAGAGGCTGAAGCAGAGTTTGAGTTCAACGATGCTGAGAGGCAGAGGGGAAGCTGGTAGGAATGGAGAGGTGGAGGTCTGTTGGAGACTGCTACAGAGCCAAGCTGCAGGGCCAAAGCAAGCTGCAGAAATGAGGTGTGGAACTATGGAGGCCATCCGGTGAAGGGGACGACTGGGTCCAGACGGACAGCAGTTCAGTTTGGTCCTATCAGCAGTGGGGACTGAGCAGAACTGAAACTCCTGGGCAGTTAGGATTTCTCTATTGTACCCTTGATGTTCACACTGAGTGCTCAGATGACAGGTCATCTCTTCGAAGGGTCCAGGTAAGGGTGTCTGGTAAGTCCTTGAGCCTGGTTGTCCTGATATGATTCAATATACACATGTGTTCATATGGTCCCATATACTTTGATACATTTATAAGTTGGCAGCCTTTTTACATTTAGGAATGTTATCTGTGAGTCGGTGCCTCCTGGGTGGTGTCCAGTGGATGGTAGAGTCTGTGTGGGCATCAAGGTGCCTCTGCATTTACACTCAAAATGGAGTCAAAGGCTGCTTGTAAATGGCATCTCTCAGGGTAAGACAGAACCTGAAAACCACTGTTTCACACAGTATGGAGTAACTTAGGGACAGGCACTTGGTCCATGACTTTAGCAGACACTCTAGCAGCAACCCTCATTCACCTGCTCATTTAGAAGTCACTGTGTCCCTAGTAGCATTCTCAGACACTGTGGAGTCCAGGACCTCTTGATACTGATAAAAATTACCAAGGACCCCAGGCAGCTTCTATTTGTGTGACTTATAACTACAAATGTGTAGAAATTATACTATATATTTATAACATAAATAATTATACTTTATACATTATAATATATAAATATATTTACAAATAATATTTCTAAGTATTTATAGGTATATGTATATATCTACAAATATTAGAAATTAAAACTAGTCTAGCCAGGCTTTGTGGCACAGGTCTGTAATTCCAGCTATTCAGGAGGCTGTGGCAGGAGAAATGTATAAGTTCAAGACCAGCCTGGGCAACTTAGCAAGACCCTGTCTCAAAGTAAAAAGTAACAAACAGGCTGGAGATGAAGCTCAGTAGTCAAACACTTTCTAGAATATGAAAAGCTATAGGTTCAATCCCAAATACCATAAAAAGAGAAGAAAAAAAAACCTCTCAGAAGTCTGAAAGTATTTATTTCATCCAAGCACAGCAGCTCACACCTGTAATCTCAGCACTAGGGATGTTGAGACAGGAGAAATGCTAAGAGTTCCAGGCCAGCCTGGGCTACATGCTAAGACTGTGAGATGGTTCAGCAATTAAGAGCACTTGCTACTCTTCCAGAGGACCTGAGTTTGGAACCCATATTGGGTAGATTATAGCTGCCTATAACTCCAACTCCAGGAGGAGATCTATGCCTTCTTCTAGCCCCTGAAGGCACCTGTACACACATGCACACACATGCACACACACGCACGCACGCACGCACAGACACACACAAATGGAAAACATTATGTTTGTTTTTTTCTAAGAGAATGGTAATAAATCTACATGTTAATATTAATGTTAAAAAAAACTTTTTAAGTCCAACGTGGTAGTAGTGTATGCATTTAATCCCAGCACTCGGAGACAGAGGCAGTAGTGTGGTTTTGCATTTTTGCTGTTCTCTTCAGTGCCAGGCTCAATAGAAGCCTGCTGCAATTTGTCATTAATGTAAGTGAAGATGGTCTACCTCACACAGGTATATCCACACAGCTTTTCCAGATAGCATTAGATACTCTGCTCTGAAGTCATACCCTCACTCAGTCAGTGATGGTTTCCTTTTCCTCAGGGTGTGTGACCAGGGAAGATTGCATCTCACCGTATAGCTCAGGCTGGCCTTGTGCTTGTTCCTTGGTTCCTCTGGGCATCCTGCATGCCCCAGACAAACTCTCTTTCTAGGGTCTGGGGAGGGGGTGCAGATGCTGACACCACTCTGCCCTGTGTGTCAGATGTGTGCTGTGAACAACGGTGTGCTGGTGGGGAACTGGTCTGGAGACTACAGCAATGGCACAGCTCCCTACGTGTGGACCAGCAGTGTGCCCATCCTGCAGCAGCACTATGTCACCGGGTTGCCTGTGTGCTTCGGCCAGTGCTGGGTGTTCTCTGGCATCCTAACCACAGGTAGGCTGCAGCAAGGGCAGGGGGCACTCAGCCCCCACAGGAGCTGACCATTCTGCCTGGGGTCATTTCAGCACTGAGAGCTGTAGGCATCCCGGCGCGCAGTGTGACTAACTTTGAATCAGCCCATGATACGGGGAAGAACCTCACAGTAGACATCTACCTGGATGACTCGGGCCAGACAATCGGAGATCTAACCAAAGACTCTGTCTGGTAGGTGCCCTCCTAGGCGGCCTGGGCTACCTCCTGGTCTGCCTGTGCTCCTCTCTCTGCTCCAAGAGACATGCTCTACAGCAGGCTTTCCAGCCTCCTTCCTAGAAGGCTCAAGCTGTAGGCAGCAGTCACTGCCCCATAAATTCACTTTATACAATTCAGCCTCAGACAGTGTGACCCAGACTTGTTGAGCATAAAGATTTTTTGGCTGGAGCCTTTTGCCCCTGGAGGTAAAAACCAAGAATTGTCACTTAATTCTGGTCCCTGGCCCTAGAGCCTGAGACAGGCTGCTGTATGTGACCCTATGATGTAACTGGAACCATAGCAGGCAAGAGGGACTGTTTCCTCTGCTTTCTAACCCCAAGGCACAGGTACCTTGCAAACTAAAAATACAGGGATTCTTGAGAGCGGAAGAGGGTGTCTGAAGCTGGGGGTGGGGCTGTGGTTCCTAGTTTTTACTCAAACACAGCTATGAAATTCTAGTTGATATGTTGAGTCAAAGAAAAAAAAAACTTTGAAACTGTTGGGAAGGAAATACCAAGCTCCTTATTCCACATGATATAACTGTCTTAAAAATAGCAAGAACATAAGCCGGGAGTGGTGGCGCACGCCTTTAATCCCAGCACTTGGGAGGCAGAGGCAGGTGGAGCTCTGTGAGACCAAGGCCAGCCTGCTCTACATAGTGAGTCCCAGGTCAGCTGGGGCTTCAGGGAGATCCTGTCTCAAACAATCAAAGTAAGAATATGGAAGTCCTGAGACAGGCCAACTGCAAAATTACTGATCAATTTAATCAGAACCCCTATGAGCCCAGAAAAAGTTAGGACTGTTGGCTCATTCATTGAAAGATGCTTACTGCCTCTGGAGCTCTTCCCAAGGCTCTTGGTGATGGCCCTGCCTTTGTGGACAAGGTACCCCTGCAGAACAACCTTAGAGTAGGGCCTGCGATGACAGGTTCTCTAACCATGTGGCTGACTTGGGTGGGTCTGTTTCCACTGCCACAGGAATTTTCATGTGTGGGCGGATGCCTGGATGAAACGACCGGATCTACCCCAAGGCAATGATGGTTGGCAGGTCCTGGACTCAACTCCACAGGAGATCAGTGACGGTGTGTGTGCAGGGCCCAGGAGCTGGGGATGGAGGACTTGTCTGGGCTGCTTTTCTGACCTGGTGCACTATCATGGGGTGGTAACTGTGCAGGGCTTTCAGGTCGCTAGGTGCTTTCCTAAAGAGGTCACTAGTGACAGTTACATAATAACAGACGCACAGCTTGCAACTCACCTTTTATCTTATTTTTACTTTTTCATTGAATTTTTATGTACTTCATACACAACATCTTATTTTTATCCCTCTTCTCCATTGGCACCCTCCCATAAGTCTCCGCATGGGACTTCATGCATTCTGTCATTTATGTTAAGGCCTATCAAGTTAAGTTAGAATCCCCTGACATCCTTCAGTGTAAAGCACATTCATCCATTGGGATCTAATGAGCCTATCTAGGGTCACTCCCTCAAAGACCAGCTCTTCTTCACCCAGCAGTAATCAGCTGCCCAACAGTTCTTCGGCTAAGATTGGAGCCTGTTCCACAGTTCTGTGCTGACTTTTTGTCTCCTTGTGTTTGCATGGGTCTTGTGCATGCTGACACCATTGCTGTAAGTTCATATGCATAAGGTCCCAGGAGCCTCTATGACTCTCTTTTCATACGGTCCTATGCCTCTTCCTGTGGCTCTTACAATCTTTCTGCCTCTTCTTCCAATATGGTCCCTGAGCCCTGGGTGGGTGAAGTTTAATATGGGAGTCCTGTCCAAGACCAACACTCTGCAGACTCTTACATTTTTAAAAGTACATTTGTGTGTGTGTGTGTGTGTGTGTGTTCATGTGTGCATTACAGAAAACATGTGGAGGTCAGAGGAAAACTTGTGAACGTTGTAGTTGGTTTTCTCCTTCTACCATGTGAGTCCTGGAGATCAAATTCAGGCCGGTAGTCTTGGTGACAGGAGCCTTTTCACTTCGAGCCATCTCACCAGCCCACCAGCCAACAAGTTTTGTCATTATCTGTGTTTTGCAAATTTGGGTTCAGGGAGGTGAAGTGAGCAGCTTGAGGTCACACAGCCCTAAGCAGCAGAACCCAGAAGCCCAAATTGGATGGAATGGAATGAATGTCCTGCTCTGCTGTTCATGCCTTAGTTAGGTCTGGGTAGGCTATGTGGAGCTGGAAGGCGCTTAAGGAGTGTCTCTGTGCAGATGGGGTCTGGTCTGAGGTTACCTGGAAAATCTATGGAATCAAGTTATCTTTTTAAATTTATTCAAGCTTTTTGAGACAGGGCATTCACTGCAGCCCAGACTGGCCTGGAACTTGCAATCTTCCTGCTTCCAAATCCCAAGTGCTGGGATTACAGGTATGTGTTACCAGGTTTAACCAAGTTATCCTTATTTTAAATCATCTAAGTATTAAAAACAAACAAGTTAAGCTGGGCATGGTGGCATGCCAATAATCCCAGCACTCAGGAGGTAGAGGCAGAAGGATTAGGAGTTCAAGGCCATCCTTGGCTATATAATGAGTTTGAGGCCAGCCTGAGCTACATAAGACCCTGTCTCAGAAAACAAAACAAAAGGCTGGAGAGATGGCTCAGAGGTTGAGCACTGGCTGCTCTTGCAGAGGACCAAGTTTTGGTTCCTAGCACCCACAAAGCAGCTAACAATCCCCAGTTTCAGGGGATCTGATGCCCTCTTCTGACCTCCAAGGGCATTGCATGCATAAATGCACTTAGATGTAGGCAAAACATGCATACACGTAAAATTTTAAAAAATATTTAAATTAAAACAAAACACCCCTGAATCGACAAAAACAAAACACAGCCAACAAATAATTTGGCTCAGTAAAGGGAAGTCTTTGAGATCATAGCAAGCTTTCAAACTTATTGTGACTCCACATTTTATAAAAGCAAAACTCTGACATGTTACCAGAGACATGCTGCCCTGCCTCCTTGACAACCAGGCTCCACCCCTGCAGCCCCACAGTTCACAGGCACCCTGCAGTGTATGTCTCCTGCAGCCCTTCTAGGAGCAAGGCCACTGCCTGGACAGAGAAGGGATCCTGAGGCATGAGGCATGGGTCCCCAAAGGCTTTCAAATAAAATTTAAAAACACTCTGGGGCCTTGTGTGTCCCAGATACACCCAAGGTAAAAGCACAGTTCTCAGTGGAACCAGCTGGGGGTCTCCAGAGACCTGCCTTCCTAATTTTTCCCCAGCGGGGGGCGGATTCTTGACACCTGCCTGCATTGAAAAATCTATAGCAGGGGGCTTCACAGCCTCTTCCCAGAGCGGGGACAGTGGCCCTGGCAATGGGGCAGCACACACCCTAGGGCCACTGTCCACTTGAGAAGCAGAAGCCCAGTTCCTGGACAGAAAGGGGCTTTAGGAGCCCACTTCCCGACTCACTGTGCAGGTAGGGTGAGGGGAGGGGAGAGGGATGCCCTCAGCCAAGAAGCAGAGCCAATGTTGGGTTAGGAGCCCTGCTCCAACCTTAGCCCTGCTATACTGAATCTCAGAGGTGGCTGCTTTGTTTTGTTTCTTGGTAGCGTATGTGTGTGTGTGTGTGTGTGTGTGTGTGTGTGTGTGTGTGTGTGTGTGTGTTTGGTTGGTTGATTTTGGTTTTGGTTTCTTGAGACAGGGTCTTACTATGTAGCTGCAGCTGGCCTGGACTCACTATGTAGACCAAGCTGGCCTCAATCTTACAGAGATCTGCCTGCCTCTGCCTCCTGAGTGCTGGGATCAAAGATGTAGCCACCACACCTGGCAGGATGGCTGCTTTTAAGAGGTAAGGGATGGGAATCTTGTGTATTGAAGATTAAATAAAATAATGGACATGGCAAGCCCAGTGTTTAAAATATAAGGGTATGCAAAATCCAAACCAATTATGCATAATGGGGAACCAAGAGACTAATTCTTACTAAGTTGCTAATGACTGATAAGGAGAGCTCTCCATTCTTGTGTCAGAACTTTAGAAGACAGCATTGTTAGTTTAGGTCAATAGCTGCAGGAGTGGAGCCAGGTTGTCAGGGAGCCAGGCAGCAAGGTCTCTGGTAACATTTCAGAGTTTTGCTTTTATAAATGTGGGGGTCACAAAAAATTTGAAAACTTGATATGATCTCAACGGTTTCCCTTTACTGGGCCAAATTTTTGTTTGGTTGTGCTTTGGTTTTTGTTGATTTGGGAGTTTTACGTGCTAAGTACTGTCATGTACTATTTAACTTGATTCTCACAGTAGCCTTATGAGATAAGTGCTACTTTTGTCCCCAGTGTCCAGGAAATGGAGGCACAGGAGTGCTAGAGTGACTTATTCAAGGCCATACAGGAATCAGAGGGTGTATGGATGGATGGAAACGGGGACAGAGCTGCCCACCTCTGGATTCAGGGATGGTGTGCAGATGCATGGAAACCGGGGCAGGGCTGCCCAATTCAGGGGTCTGAGGTTTCCTGATGTGGCCCTAACTGTCGCAGAGCATTTCAGGCTGCCTGGGACCTAAGTGCCTGCTGCTCTCTGCTTGGTTTGGGGTTCTTTGCTGTCACAGAACTAGATTAGGGACCTCCTGAGGTATAGGCAGGATGGGCAAGGAAACCCCTGACAACCAACCCTCTCTCTTCCCCTCAGGGGGCTTCCGAGCTGGACCTGCACCACTGAGTGCCATCCGCCAGGGCAACGTGCTCTTGAAGTACGACACCAAGTTCATCTTCACAGAGGTGAATGGAGACAAGCTCATCTGGCTGGTGAAGCAGGACCAGGGGAGGGACAAGAACACCCTCATAGCCGTAGAGACCATGAGCATTGGCAAGAATATCAGCACCAAGATGGTGGGCCAGAACAGGCGCCAGGACATCACCTCTGAGTACAAGTACCCAGAAGGTAGCTGTGCATGTTTCTGCCACCAAAGGCTGGTCCAAGACTGGGCCAGGTGACAGCACACCTGGGCTGTGAAGGCCTTGATAGCAGATACTCTAGGCTTTCCCCACCATAAGGTCCAGGCTACAACAGTTTGACCCCATGCTCTTTGGCAGGAGTGCGCAGCAGGGCAGGCTGTACGAGATGATGGCGACTCTGTCCTAGAGAAGGTTTGGCTCACAGAGTACTGTGTTCACTCTAGGGCAAGCTGGTGGACTGTCCTTGCAGAGGCCTTCAGTGCCCTGAGCCACACTTTGGGTGCCTGACACAGATTTCAGAAATACTCTTACTCGCTCAGGCTCATATATCTTAGAAGTGGCCAAGTTAGTCTTTTGTTTGTTTGTTTGAAGTAATGAAGATGGAACTCAGGGTCTTATGCATGCTAGGCAAGCCTTCCCAGATCCCAGCAAACCAGGCTGCCTGGAGGAATCTAGCCTGTGGGACTCGGGGGCATAGGCACACTGCTGGCAGGTGTGTCCCTTGGGTTTCTGATGCCAGTGGAGGGTCTGATGCTAGAAGTGCCATTACTGCCCTTGGCCTCCAACAGCGGGTTGCAGGTCATCCTGCAGAAGAGGTGCCAGTTGTTGGGGTGAGTTCCCTGGAGTTCAGTGGACTGTTCCTGAGTTAGGCAAGCAGAACGGACAGGCTCAGGGGCTGCCCTGGTGTCTCCATCACAAGATGGCAGCTCTCCTGAATCTGATCTTGCTTCTTATCAGATTGATCCTTTCTGCCCTAGCCCATGCTGGTTGCAGTGCTGGGCTGCTGTAGACAGCCAAAGACTCTTCTGTATCTCTTCTGTAGACAGCTATCCTTATCCTCAGGATCTCCCCTCTTCTGAGTCCCTAATTCTCTGCTGAAGGCCTGAAGGAGCAAGATGGTGGTTATATGAAGGCAGGAGTCTCTCATTGCATTGTGGGAGAGGGTACAGTGTCCAAGAGGCAGGCCTTCCTGTCTGTCACTGCTCTGTAGCTGTAAGCAGGCCAACATGGGGAGGACCTGAGACAATATCTACCCTCAGTAAACAGGTTGTCAGATTGGCAGCAAAAATACCCTCTAAGCCACCTCACCCACCCTAATAGGCATTTAAAAAAAATCAGGTTAGGGGGTGTCTCAGGGAGGAAGAGAAGCTGCTGGTGGTGTGGGCCCTGTGGGCTCAGTGTCCTCACTCTTCCTTGTACTCATCCCTTCTACCTTGAAGACTGGATAATGTCAACTAACTTAACTTCAAATTCTTTGATTCCTTCTGTAGACTCTAAGCTGTTATTACTGACTTTAATTTTTTTTAAAATTTTATGTGTATGAGTGTATTGCCTGCATGTATGTGAATGCACCCGTGTTGTGCAATGCTGCGGAGGTCAGAAGAGGGCTTCGGATTCCCCTGGAACTGCAGTTAAGGATGGTTGATGGCCACCATATGGGTGCTGGGAATCGAACCCGGGTCTTCTGCAAGAGCAGTCAGTGCTCATAACCGCTGAGCCATCTCTCCAGCCCCATTACTGACTTTTTAATGCTAAAATTCTTTTTTAAAACAATTATAACCTCTTTACTGATAGTCGCTATTTAGTGAGCCACTGTTCTCTCTGTACGTTTAGATCTTTGAATATGTTTTAAAATATTTTATT